CCAAAACTCACGAATGCCGCCGCAGCCTCACGCCTGCAAGGGGGCGGTCCTGGGGAATTTCCGAGCACACCCATTTTTGAGGAGCTTTACGCCCTTTTTGCGGATTTCCGAGGTGAGTTCTGTTAATATTTCCACTTCATATGTTCTCTATTAGGGCTAGTGTATCCTTCAATCGCAATAGCATTGAAAGTAACAGACCCTGCCTGGACTGTTGCTTTAAGGGAATCACATTTTTGGGTTGAGCAAGGGTAGATACCTCTGGGGAAAGTGTGAATGGTGTTGCAAAAAAATGGATTTTATTTGACGGGTTATTCGATGGATTTGGCGAATGTTTCATGAAAATAGGGGAAAGTAGACAAAAATGTTACTTGCCGCTTCATGATATCAATTTACCCTCTCCACCCGCTCGACGGCGACTATGGGGTAAAAAATGGGCGGGGCCGGATCTGGTCTCAGAATCAAATAGTGGGTTGGAGCATAATATCGTCGCGCTCACATTTTTCATTTTTGCACACAAACATTTGAAGCAAAAAATAAAAACATAAAACTAATCAGTGATGTTCACTTCGTCATTATTTACAACTTTGATTGCATTTTGCAGGAGATCACCGGATTTAGAATTAAAAAAATATTGAGCTCGTTTTCGAAGTCCTTCATTCTCAATTTGTACGAATGAATATGGTTTTAATTTGAGCGAAAAAGGTAGGGTCGGTTAGAGAAAGGTTCGATAGAACAATGGATTCTGAAGAACTTTCCGTTTTTGGCATTTTTTTTATGTGAACCGAAAAATAAGCAGCTGTCGAAATGCCGATTTCTGCCGTCTGGATTTTCCAACTTCTAAGCATTATATATGAGTACAATACAATTTTGAAGAAAATGACAAATAGTTTTGTAGAGCGGAAAAGTGCTTTCAAATGATATACGCGGCTTTCCGAATGATAATTGCATTGATTTAATTTATACGCTTAAAGGAATCTTCCACGGAAAAAGCTCCGCCCTCATTACCACAGAAAACGATACCTTAAAGGAATCTTCCACGGAAAGAGTGATCATTTTGTCTTGTGTGTAGGATTAGTATTATCGAAACTAACGCTTATGTTCCGTTCTTTTTGCTATGCTCATGAGGCTAGGGGCCTAAGGGTATCGTTTTTCTGTGGTAATGGAGGCGGAGCTTTTTCCGTGGAAGATTCCTTTAAATCGCTACAATATTATGTTCCAACCCGACACTATAGAAACAGCCATGATGGAGAGTACGGGGGTGGTGGTAGGAATGATGGTTGATCAGGGGAAATCGTTCACGGAGGAGGCCTGTTGGGGGGCTCTAATACCGATGGTGGTGCTAGGGGTAGGGTACCGACAGGAGGCCCGTCGCGCGGCAAGAAGGCAAAGTCAGCGGACGAGTCGCGCGCGTACTGTAGGATTTCGCGTCAAGTTAAATAGAATGTACCATTGTACGTCCTACATCGCACAGCACGCGCTGCAACTCGTCCGCGACTCTGCCTTCTTGCCGCGCGACGGGCCTCCTGTCGGGTAACCAGGAAAGGCATTCAAGTTCCCATGGAACTTTGAGATGAGACCCAGATATATCGATAGAGCTTCAAACGCTGATTACAAATATGGAAACTAAAACTGCAAAATGAACCTGCCAAGGAAGTTGTGAGCAGTCAAAGTTGGTTGGAAGTAAAGCATTACATATGAACCGTGCTAAATTTCGGGCTTTCAGAGTCGCAGTGGAGTAGTGGTAGTGCTTTCGGAAAGTTGCACTCTAACGGAAAGAGAATGCACGTCTTCCCAGCTGAAGAGCGAGAGCACTACCACTACTCCATGGCGACTTTGAATGCCTCGGACGGTAGCACGATTCATATGAAACGCTTTATTTCCAGCCAACTTTAACTGCTCACAACTTACTTGGAGGTTCATTTTGCAGTTTTAGTTTTCATATTTGTAGTCAATGTTCGAAGCTCTATCGAAATATATGGGTCTCGATTCAAAGTTCCATGGGAAGCTGAATGCCTTTCCTGGTAAGGGTAGTGTCGAAACCCTCAGTGGCGACCGGTCTCTAGTAGAGTACAAGTGAGTACAAGTGCTGCGCTTCTAGTCACTGCGCCAATGCGAAAATGCTAGTAAGCGCCTGGGTATGCACTATGAGGCCCGTCTGAATCTGTTTTGTAGGCATAGCCCCTATTTCATAGACATGAAGATTTGAGAATTGAAAACTGAAAATAAATGATACACCATATTCTGTCACTATTTTTGCTAATTTGTACTTATTGAATATCCTGTTCATTGCTTTATATCGAGAGAATCCACAGAAAATTGAAAATGCACAGCGCTTCCACTTTGATTTCCCATTGCGCGGCATTGGGCGCGTTTTTCCCCTCTTGCGATGAGACTGGTGCCATTCTTCAGTTCTTCCTTGCCATAGTTCAATTTTATGTGGTTATTTCAATGCGACTTCATCCTGAACACCGCCGATGAAGAATGAAGAACCAATAATCATTGCAGTTCTAGTTGGAACATTATTAGATGAATTGGAACGAACTGCAGCGAAATACGCCGACAACACCTCGCTGTCCATTCAAATGGCATCTCCATTGGTCCGCATATCGCGACGCAACCGCTCACGTCATTTTCAGAAAAAGAAACCATAGATTTGAAACCTCCTTGATCAACTAGGCGTCACTTCCTCCATTCGATTTAAGACGGAAGGAGAATATCGATTAAAGTTGGTTAATAGAACCTCTCAAAAACCGGTGCATAATGGTTAATTTCGCCGCGTCCGCGTTCTGTGTGGGTCAGAACATTGGAGAACAAATGGGTGAGGGTTGGGTTGGGTTTCCAAGCCATGATTGCTCCGAACACCACGGCAGAATCCATTTTTGGAAGGGTTCGACTAGAGGCGGCATTCGTTTGCTTGAATTATTGAATTCATAAGCCGAAGAGGCCTCAGCGACGCGATTCACCGCTAAGGCCGTCGATTCAAGGCCATTCGGCAGCACAATTTCAGTGGGCACTCTAGTTATTGCTACTACCTGATCATAAAATATGAGCGAGGGGTTGTTCTTTTGAAAGGACCCAAAACACAAAGACTTCCATTTTTTGTATCATAAGTGTTTTTTTTTCTTTAGGAGCTTTAGAAGCCAAGGTTTTTCAGTGCAGCACCTGAAAAAACCTTCCCTATGAAAAACATATCGTAAAGTGAAAATGCTGAGAAGATACAATGAATGTTTAACCAGCGGAAAAACCACCCATCGCCGATCAATCAATATCTGGGTTAGCTATTGGTGTGGAGGCGAACTAAAGAGTGTTTCCGTTTGGATCGCTCTGTCCTCGAATTTATCCAGGAATATCATGAAGCTCGTGTGGTTGATAGCAGCTCTTAATGAGCAGCTTGGCCCTCGCAACACCTGCCACTTCGACCCACGTCATTGCATTGGAATTCGATTCGCAGCCTATCATGCCGGCAAGCGATCTGGCAAAGAAACTACTCCACTGGTAGCTCAGTGGTTGAGAAATGGAATCCCTGCTTTGCTAGCATCAAGGTTACGCCATGTACTTAAACTACTCTCCGTATTGTCAAAGTGGTTGAGAGCTTTAAGCGTGTTACAGTGAGAACTTCCACGTTTAGACAAAAATGCCTAACAAGGCTAAGTTGTA